GAACTTTCTTCCCGGTCTCACCCGCAACATCCCCAAAAGCGCGAGAAACTTGAACCTTGCCATCGACATATCCACCTTCGACGTTTACACCGATCTCCTCCAAACGCTGTTTTTCGAACTTGTTTTTCTCGGGGGCATGGTCCGTGGTCGTCGTTGTCACCTTGCCATCTTCACATACGACAGCTCGACAATCTCCTAGGTTCAACAGGACCAGCTCTTCTGCTTTCAGAAGAGCAACACAGGCCACCGTTCCGGACGATGTGCCGGATGCAAACCTTAGCGGCCGACTTCATAAGCCCAAAACACATCAAACAGGTGTATGGGATGGTATTATCCCAAAATGTAAAGTGTGCTCATTCAGCTACTGAGAAACTGCTTGGCTTCCTCAGCCAGTTCGTTCTGCATTAGCTCGTCCACAGCCGTGAATGCTTGTTTGGCGGCTTCCTCCTTGTTGTCGTTTTCTTGGAGGCAACACTCGAGCTGTTCTGGAAGGTACTGTTTGGCCAGCAGGGTGGCCTTCTCGCCTCCGTGACCGTCGAAGACCGCGAAGCAGGCATTTCCTCCAACGTTGTCATGGATTAGCACGGCATCTTCCATACGCTGCCGGTCATTCTTCGCGAGTGCGTACCCATACTGACTGTTGCCGCCCGACGCGTAGTCCGGAAGCCAGGATGGATCTTTCTCCCTGGCTCCACAACATTGGCATATGTTGCCCATCGCTCAAACACGATTAAGCGGAATGTGCAGTTGCAGCTAAGAACCGATATGCACTCCGGCTAAGTGCTCAGAAGATGTGAGTCCACGCTGCTCCGTCTCAGCAGCGTAAAAGGGGTTTAGGGGTTTGGGGTTTAGGGACTCCATGTAAGAATCGAGACACAAGCCAGTCTAAGCTGCCGGCGCCTTCGGCGAAAGAGACGTCAACAGTGGTCGGGCTTGTTCTGCCTCGGATGCCTCCTGCTAGTGGGCGTAGACTATAGTATCGCGTTGAACATGTCCATGCGCCAGTGATATTTACATATTGCAGCTGGATGCACTCGTGCCACTTGCAAAGGAGAGTCCTCCAATAGATACCGGCCCAAAGCACACCTGGCAACAGCATGCAACAGCAATGACACCAAAAGATTACGATTGCGAAGAGCAGAACCATGCGGCCAGTACTGCGTCAACAAGTTGGACACAAATTAGAGGTGCCAGATCCAGTATGACCGCTTCAAACAGTTTTGCTTTAATTGCGGCGGAACCAATGCAACACAGAAGTTCCAATCACTCTCCCTTGCAAACTCAACGACAAAGAAGCACCTTACCTCTACTGGTACTATTTTGGGGGGTTCCGTATTATGATTATAGTATAGTGGGCCCCAAAACCCTATTCTAATTATTACCGACTCTGAATCCGTCTTGACCTTCGAGAGGGAGTCGGCTGTAGTGGCTTTCCTGCCAGGCGTCGGAGCTTCATGCGCTGTTTAGCAACCGAGCCTCATTCAGTTGAAATGGGTATGGGAGTGTTGCGCCCAGATTCTACAGGTGCCGCAGCTGCAGCTCATAACCTGTGGAATCATCCCTAATGCCTACAGCCTAAAGCCTAAACCTAAACAGCCGCCGTGCCTGTCTCTTTCATATCCGCGAGGACCTCCGGGATCTTTTGTTCAGGGAGCAAGGGGCTTCTCTTCGACGTGCATGGCCCGTGATAGCTGAACAGGAAGCCTATTCTAAGCGCCACCAGCTTGCAGTTAGCTCGACAACGTAACAAATCGTTTGTCGCTGAACCCTTAAAACCCGCATAAGATCGTAAAACACCGCAAGACGGTATAGGCCCCGATGAAGCGCCAATAAGATGAGTATCGTGGACAAACTGCCGCCCAAAGCGCCTCCAGCAAGGCATACCAACGGCCTAGCCAGCGTGGCTGGAAGCCATGGGGCACCTGATTCCCGGGTTTGGCTTAGGGCCTGTAGGGGATCGTCGCAGCGTCTGGGTGAGATCAGGCCCATTGGGATTTACACCGTGGGAATATGCAAAGATGCCGCAGGCAAGAGCGCTTTACGTTGACGAAAGACTGTTCGACCACATGCAAGGCAAGACGACAGGCGCTGTGGACCTGCGATCATCACGGTCTGTCCTTGCCAAAACCGTCTAGCTCTTCCATATATCAACTTCGTGAGCCTGTGTTCAGCGTCTGTACCTGACCCAAGCCCTTCCGACGGAATGCTGGCCTCGTCGAAGCCGAGGCGGTACAGCAAGTCCTGAGACAAGCAATGGTCGTCGTGCTGCTCTCAGGAAGGATTTCCTGTAATACCTTTCTGCAGCTGATAGTCCACTGTAATCGAATCGTACTGACGATCCCAGGAAGAACAATAAATTAGAAGAAGCCAGTATTTGCCCAGTCCGCCCTGCCTTGGAATTTGCCAAGCCCCAACTACCGAAACTTCTCCGGAATCCCCGAAGCCCTTGAGTGCTGAACTTTAGGGAAGCAGCCCCCTGCTTGTAAACCCGCTTCGACCCCTAGGAGTCCTGAAACCTTTCAACTCCAACTCCCAGTATGTGCCGGCCTTTCTCCACCCGACCCCTGCCCCCAAGCCTAAAGCTTAAGACCCCGGATCATTCCAGAGCGGGGGAGGGGAACAACAAATTAAATCCTAGACCTCAAATCAAATCAAAACCCTTAACGCAGGAAGCAAAAACTATTGAATACGAGCCACAAACCCTTCAAGCGCAACACCCTCCCTGAACAAAACAAGTGGGAACACAGTATGAAACCCTGAACCCTGCCGAGCCGCGCGCGCAAGTCTTGGGCTGGGCTAACCTCCAGGGCCTTGATGGCTTCGGGTTCAGGCCAGGGGTCTTAGGGATTTGGGGTGCCGGGCTACCACTGTGTCATCTAATCGAGTGTGGCCTCGAGATGCAATACGATGCAATGGGGACATCCGATGGTAATATACTATAACATACTATACTATAATATAAGATGAAATACTATAATATACTGCAGTATAGCATAGTCAGTACACGTAAAGCGACGACGCTGAGATTGTCATTGTGCTCGAGCTGCTTGGTTGATGCTCCAGAGCCCGAAAATCGACAGGCTTGTCATTGGTTCGAAGCTTCGAGCGTGGGATTGTCACTGTTGTCTCCATCTGATTTCAAAATGATGGGTAAACACGATGATGTGATTATTAGAGCTGCTAGCTGCTAAAATCCGACACCTTGAATCCGAAATCCTACCACCTAACCTAGGGTTTTCGCTCTGGCGATCTGGCTCATCCATCTCGACCAACTCCGATGTCGACTGGCCGGCTTCGTTAACACTGAAGCAATCCTGCCGGCACGGGCAAAATTCGCCGCATGCACACCATATGCTTGGGTGTATTTTTTTTTTACGTCCGCCATGCGC